TGGATTGTGGCTAATGTCATGGGTACATGGCTTCAAGCACCAGCAGTGGGAGCGCAGTGGAGTATAAGAGTAAATTGTAACGTGCACACAGCCATAGATTGCAAGCCCTCTGGCACTCTGTTGGGGCTATGCAACTATTCAGGAGTAACAAAAAAGGGGTGTGTGCGTGTGATTGCTCTCTGACTGTTATCCAGTCTATGGATGGGGGAGAAATTAATTCAGTTTGCATTTTAATGCGAAACGACCCGATTCACAGCTCTCAAACCAATGCACAAACTGAAATTTGCACCTCCCTGAATTTTGTGATGCAGTTGTCCAGCCACCGCCAACACACACCCCTCCAGCAAAATGTATTAAAAAAAACCAAGGATATATTGGGGGGAAATGTGCACAAAAATGTATCTGTTAATGAAACAATGTGCAAAATGCAGAAATGTGTATATTAGTTGAAGTACATACAGAAATGCATACAAATTTTCATGCAGACTTAAAAAAAAATATGTTTGCAACCTGAGGCAGAAATGGGCCAAGCTGAATTTAAAACTGGGGAAATGCAGAAATGCAAGAGAAACTGAAACTGACAGGTTCACCTATCCCTAATCCAGCCACTGCTGTCTGTCTTCATCTTTTCCTACTCCTTCTTGGACCCTGCCTAATGCTCAGCATTCGTCTCTAGGCTTCTGTGCCCTGGAGGCAGCTGGCAGCAGGCTGTTCCTTGCAGTGAAGGGGGTGACTCTGTGACACTTATTCTTGCCTGCTAATCCCTCCCCTGTAGAGCAGTCTCGAGAGCCTGTTGGCTTGCTCTCCAATCTCTGAGTAGTTTCTCTGCCAGAGTTGGCTGGCCATTCCGGTGTCCTTTTGCTTATTAATCACACTGGGTTGGCATTGCAGAGCAAAGAAAGCCAATATCCAGGACTGTTGCCCCTTTCTGTGATTTGCTGTCAGGCTTGCAGTTGCACTTGGCGAATCACTGTCCCAACCTCACGTCGCTCCTCCTCCTTCATCTGACTGGCCATCCTTCTTGCCTGGGATTTTACACATAAACCATCCCAGACCGTCAGATTCTGCTGACCTGGAACCCTGAATTCTGTCACGGGGATAAATAGTTCCGAAATGCGGTAAAACATGGGGAAAACTCACCGCTGGATTGCACTGCTTTGTACAGCCCATGTGACACAGTAGCTAAGAGACTGAGCTGTAAGTTAGGAATACAGTGGTACCTCGGGTTAAGAACTTAATTCATTCTGGAGGTCTGTTCTTAACCTGAAACTGTTCTTAACCTGAAGCACCACTTTAGCTAATGGGGCCTCCTGCTGCCACTGTGCTGCCGGCGTGCGTTTTCTGTTCTCATCCTGAAGCAAAGTTCTTAACCTGAGGTAATATTTCTGGGTTAGCGGAGACTGCAACCTGAAGCGTATGTAACCTGAAGCGTATGTAACCCGAGGTACCACTGTACCTTCCTTCTCTTGGCAGTTCACTTCCTTAGGCTCATCTCACCCATCTGCTGTCTAAGGATAATAATACTGGCCTGCTCTACAGGGCTGACCACTTTAAAGCACTTTTAAAAATGCTAAGTGTTATTAACAGTACCCCTTTGTCATATTGTGCCCATTTGCACAGACCGTTCTAGCAACAGGTTGTATGGTGGTCTCTCTTGTTTTGCTCTGGTGGTTAAAATTTAAAGCTCCCAGCTGTGTCACAGGCTGAAGCCCAAAGGACCTCTGGACTTAGTCGCCAGTGGGGCCCGATCTATAAAACATTTGGGCTACAGATTGCAGGAGCATTTACACTAACATTCCCAGAATTATTTTGGGTGGGTGGTGGGAATTGTGCTTGAATGTATTTAGCTGGAGTCACCCAGTGAGCCCCAAGACTAAATGGGGATTTGAAATTGGTTGTCTCTTCTTCTCATCCAGTATTTAACAACCATACCACATTGGTTCTCATGTTCAGAGCCCAGATTCCTCTAACGAACATATACTGGAGGCAAACACAGACAATGGCTTGCTCCCACCATGCTGTCATGCTTGTGAAGGTCCTCAGATGATTTGGGTATGCATTGATTGCTAGACTTAGATGGCTCTTTCAGTCTGATTTACGGAATCAGATCAAATCACATGTCCTTGGGCGCAATATGAAAATAAAATGAAGACGCTGGGCGAACCTTTCGGGCGATAATTTCCTCCATCATTTCACAGATGGAAATCAGGACAAGTCTGCTTGCGTCATTCCTGACTCTCACACCGTGGCTCACTGTGTGAGTCTGCAGTCCTCCTTCCTCACACTCCCCCTCACCTCACTTGCTTTGTTAATTTACAATAGCCTGTCCTGTGCTGGTTTTAACGCAAAAATTATCCAGTATGCAGCCAGGAGCACGGGGCAAACAGTGCCAGGAGCGCGGCAAAGTGGCACTTGCCCTGTGCGTAGTCCCCCGTCCTCTCCCCCAAGGCCGGGAAGAGAGAAAGCAAGGAAGGGAGCAGCTTATATTTGGTTATTGTCTTTCCCCCCTCTCCCCTCCCCCCCCATGACTTTTAAATGTGTGGCTTATATTCGGGCCAATACGGTAGTAGGAAAGTGACAACTGGTAACCACTAGAAAGATCCCATCTGGGTATGTTCATACAGGGGAAAGTGCATGTCCATTTGAGAGCACTGGCCGCCTCTTTCCAAAAGCATATTCCTAACGTTAGGTCAGTTATGCTGCAAGATAACAGTTACTGTATCATGAAAAAGGCAAGAAAAATGAAAGGTTTGATCTCCGTGTGTGTGTGTGTGTGTGTGTGTGTGTCACCCTCACCCACACCTGCTGCTGTATCACTGCATGATTTGCTGCTCTGGTCTCAATTATTTCCAACCATCCTCTGCTGTAAGTTGTTAATATTCTGCCCCATCTCTGCATCATGTATGGGGCCGGCTCTGCTGTTGGCCAGATTGAGGCAACTTGTTTTGAGTGTCATGAAAGGACAGCAATGTACTTTACCAATAATAATGTCTTATTATTTTGTTTTTACTGCCAATGAGAGGGAGAGGTCCTTGTGGACTTTTCTGCCTCAGTTTCCAAAATAACTTGGCTGGCCTTCAGTATTATGTACCCTAACATGGAGGTGGGGACACAAACAGCATTTGCTCCCCCCTCCCCAACCTCAAACAGCAAGATTCTTGGGCCTGTCAGATCATTCAACCAACTCACACAGAAGACTTTTCTAAGAGAAGGGTGCCTCCAATTATAATTCAGAAATGAATTAAGCCTTGGTTTTCAGTTTGGGAGATGATACACTTGGCTATCTGCGAGTCTGACTTCTTCCTTCCCAGCAACTAGTAAGAATGAGCAAATGTGACAATATCGGTTTCTCCTAGTTTCTATTTTTTTCAAGTCAAGTTCAGTTCTCCTCATTTCCACATCACTATGCAATATTTTTTTAAGTCCTCGTGAAATTTCATTAGCAGTATGAATTTCTCCTGACATACAAATTTTTGTATGCAATTTGGCCTTACATGCATGTTTTTGCAAAGCAGTTTTCCCAATGCAATCCATTTCTCTATGTTATTTTCACTAATGCGTGCATTGTTGTGCATGTTACCTATACCTTGCAAAATTTGGAGAAGCAAGATTTGCAAAGAACCGCTGTGTTTTGGTTTGTGTATAGTTTTGGAAAGAGCAAACTGGGTGGATTCGCCTTTAAACACAAAAACTGAATCAAATTCCTCTCCCAGCAACAAGTCAGTTTGGCTGCTACATTGGTGCTTATCTGGAGCTGACTAGGCTGAAGTGGGCATCAGCGATGGGGCATTCCCTTCTCTGTTGCTAATCTGCACCCTGGCCAGTTTGGCCTGGATTCTTGCCTCGCTCAGGCTTTTATCATCCTTTCTGGGATACTGTCTGGTGCAGTGGAGGCAGGGATCTCTTTCCCAGCGTCACTCTCCATGGACTGTTTCTCCCTTTCCAATTAATTAAGGCTTAGCTCAGTAGCAGGCAGTGAGCCAGCTTGGCAAGCCCACTGGATTGCAGAGTTTGTGATCAGCTCTGCTGAATGAATGGTGTTTAGCCATGGCCAGCGCTTGCCTGAGACCTTCTGCCCTTCCTGGGGAAGATGCTAGACCCCTCTCCGCACTGGTGAGCTAAACTGAAAACACCTTTTAGTGGTGTGATGACTATGTCTCCAGCCAAAAGGCCCTTGTGTGCCCTGTAGCAGTGGGGTGCTGGTTCACAATATCTCCTTTTTATTAAACTGCGGTAACTATGCATTGCCCCCAACCCCATGAAGAATCTCTATCCTTATGATCACTTACAGAATCAACTCTTTAGAAGATGTCCTCAAGCTCTCTTGGCAGGAGTTAATTAGCGGCAGCATGGGTGACATAATTGCCATAATTCGTTTTTGTAGTGTTTCTCAGCCTACTGAAAGTGTTATTTAATATATTCTATTTCTTAATGTGTGTGTGTGTGCGCGCGTGTGCATGTAACCTCTGACAACCTCTGCTGCAGAAGGAATATTAATAGCAGAAATCTAAATTATTAAGAATACCTTATATTATCTCCTGAGTTGCACACCAGGTGATTGCCACACACACAGTATAAACACATGTCAATGGCAAGTTCAGAAAGCAATTATATTGTGGCCAGGTGGACATAGACTTCTGTGTGCGCTGACAATGTGCATAGCTGCAGTGCTTGCAAAATCTTCCCTGAGCTAATTTGATGCGCCCAATATTGGGTGTGTGTGTGCACGACATCATGCACATTGCGTGTGTGCATGATGACTGTTGCATCGGCTGACCAGGCTTCCTCCCTATACAACATTCACACGCCAGGCTGTGCTGGTTGGCCTGGGACAACATCCCACCAGGCCTCCTCTGCCCCCTTCAAGATTGGGGTAGGTGGGTTAGCCCCATCCCAGTGGACATGGGGGAGTTGTAGAGGCCTCAGCCCCATAGAGTTGGTATGCCTGCTTCCAAATACCAGTTGCTGGAAATCACAAAAGGGCAGAGTACTCGCCTGCTCGATTCCTGCTTGTGGGCATCCCATAGCCATCTGGTGGGCCTCTGGCTTGATCCAGCAGGCCCTTATGTTCTCATGACTTTTCCCCACTGGAAATATAAAGATCATCTGAAAAAAAAAAGGAAATGCACACCCGCTAGAACAGTACAATATTTTTCACTAATAGAAAACCTAGCAGTTCAAAAGCATGTCAAAGTGCAAGTAGATAAATAGCTACCGCTCCGGCGGGAAGGTAAACGGCGTTTCCGTGCACTGCTCTGGTTCGCCAGAAGCGGCTTAGTCATGCTGGCCACATAACCCAGAAGCTGTACGCCGGCTCCCTCGGCCAGTAAAGCGAGATGAGCGCCGCAACCCCAGAGTCGGCCAGGACTGGACCTAATGGTCAGGGGTCCCTTTACCTTTACTTATTGAAGAAGGGACATGGGTGGCTCTGTGGGTTAAACCACAGAGCCTAGGGCTTGCCGATCGGAAGGTTGGCGGTTCTAACCCCCACGACGGGGTGAGCTCCCATTGCTCAGTCCCAGCTCCTGCCGACCTAGCAGTTTGAAAGCACGAAGTGCAAGTAGATAAACAGGTACCGCTCTGGCGGGAAGGTTAATGGTGTTTGCGTGCGCTGCTCTGGTTCGCTAGAAGCGGCTTAGTCATGCTGGCCACGTGACCAGCCGGCTACCTCAGCCAATAAAGCGAGATGAGCGCCACAAGCCCAGAGTCGTCTGCAACTAGACCTAATGGTCAGGGGTACCTTTACCTTTACTTGTTGAAGAGGAGCTGTCAGTGAAATTCTGGATGTCTGGACATTTTGAAGAGCCTCAAACGGGGCCAAAAGGTGAGTCAACTCTGTAGATAGATAGACCACAGTATGGCAGGGAAGAAGGCTAGCACCCTGTTTTGTGACTTAGGGTGCATTCAGGCAGAATTTCGTTTCTGAAGTTTCTTTACCTGATGATGTCTGGAAATCTAGCGGAATTTAGTGGAGGTTTAGCACTTTATTTCTTTGTTAATCATTCGAGACCTGGGGAAGAAGAGGCAGTGGTAAGAGGATTGGAAAAAAATTAAGGACTATTTTACAAAAACATTATAAGCTATATTGAATGGCTGAGAATTTGCTAAGTTTGAGAGAAAACAATGGCTTCAGTATTGAAGATTCGGAAAATGATTGAAACTAAGTTATGACCGAGAAAAGTTTTAAAATTCTAGAGGTAAATAATTAGATTGAAAATATCAAAAAACACATGAACGAAAGGTATTAATTTTGCTGTCTACTTTTATTTGGTTAAAGGAAAGTCAGGATGGAGGATGTGTGAAGTCCAGTTGATGAATGAAAAAAGAATTTGGAAAAATGAATCGTTCTTTTAATTTAATTTCTTCTTTCTTTTTGTAAAAACAGGCTTTTGTTGTGTTATCGACGATGGTATTCCGGACCTTGGAAAAATAAAGCCATAAAAATTTCTATTAAAAAAAATATTCTTTGTTAATCACTTCCAGGAAAAAAAACAAAAACAAAATCCATTTCAAACCCTGTTAGCCTGGAAAATCTGTGGGGATTTTCCGCTATGATTTTCCCGCCATTTACACGGATCACAAAATTTGGACGATCAAATTCGGGGCGGTATCCTGGTATTTCCTGACATGGGTGAACCCTGGGGGAACAGAAGCACTCATGTGCGTGAAGGGTGGTGAAATGCCCAGCGACGCCTGCTGCTATGCCATGCCTGGTTTGAGTGAAATTTAGTGTGACGTGGCAGTAGATAGATAGATATATAAAAAGGCACAGTTCCATAATGCAACCGGGACCGCAGTGTAAATGCAGCGTTAGAAACTGTGACAGTTTAGAAGCAGGCATGCTAGCACAATAACCTCCTAGTCTGAATACATCCTTACTTAGCACAGTGATTAATCCAGCCCACCCTGAGGCATTCTGCTCCTGATATAGAAGCTTGTGTAGTTTTAACGGTTTATTTAGGGGGTGTCAGCCTCGGATTAGAACCCTGTCGCTAGCAAAGGCACAGCACAAAGGTGGCTAATTAACTTCCTCTTCTTCTTCTTCTTCCTCTCCCTCTCCCTCTCTCCTAGTCAGACAGTTTTGATTGTCTGGGAGCCTAGCTCTGAAGATCCCGCTGTCTTTTGATGTCTGGCTGATGCAAGGGATTAACATGCTGGCCTCCTTTCTCTGTCTCTTCCCTGCCCCCAATATACTGAAGTGAATCCAATAGGATTTTCTTGCTCACGAGGGCTATGCTAAATTTGCCAGAAAGCAATAAGTTCACACTACTCCCTTTCCCCGTATGTGTGTGTGTGTGTGTGTGTGTGTGGTGCTGTGCAGAGGAGGTAGAGATACGGACAAATTAAAACACATGCTTAGCCCAAGCAGTAGCCACAATCAGGTGGTGTTGGGAGAGAGATGCACAAGAGCAAACATCCCAGGTTTCTCTGACTGGAACCTCTTCTTTCTATTTAATTTCTTTAAGCAACCCATAGTTTAATGCTAGGGAATGTGTTTTGCATATGACCTGACACCGCATGTGTACACACACACACAAAATCTCCAGTAGGAGAGCTGAGAAACAACTCTGAGGACAACACAGAAGGGATAGAAAGGTTATGCACCGGTGTCTATTCCTCTTCTCTTCCCTGGGAATATATAGGGCAGCGGTGGGGAAGCATTTTCAACTTGAGGGCTGCGTTCCCTCATGGGTAACCCTCCACATGTGGCCTTGGCCAGAGGCAAAAAATGGGTGGAGCAACAGATGCAACTCTTACCTGTGTATTCCAGCAGCCAGGCACAAGCCAGAGGTGTCTGCACACCTACACCAGTCTCTCCATCCAGACAAGCAAGAGATAATATCATAGTGTGAAGTCACATTCCAGCCAGGCAGAAGCACTTAAGGGTGCAAAGCTGTGCCGGTGAGAAGGTGTGTCCTGAGGATCAGATAGAGAGGCTTAGAGGCTGCATTTGGTCCCCGGGCCTGAGGTTCTCCACCTCTGGTGTAGAGAAACAAAAGCATACCCTCCAACATTTCTCCAATGAAAACCAGGACATCTTATTCCATCGTCATCATAATTTTATTACTTATACCCCGCCCATCTGATTGGGTTGCCCCAGCCACTCTGGGCGGCTTCGAACATATATAAAAACATAATAAAGCATAAATCATTACAAAAATCTTCCCTATACAGGGCTACCTTCAGATGTCTTCTAAACGTTGTACAGTGGTACCTCAGGTTACATACGCTTCAGGTTACATACGCTTCAGGTTACAGACTCCGCTAACCCAGAAATAGTGCTTCAGGTTAAGAACTTTGCTTCAGGATGAAGAAATCGTGCTCCGGCGACGCGGCGACAGCAGGAGGCCCCATTAGCTAAAGTGGTGCTTCAGGTTAAGAACAGTTTCAAGTTAAGAACGGACCTCCGGAATGAATTAAGTACTTAACCCGAGGTACCACTGTATAGTCACTTATCTCCTTGGCTTGTCCATCGCATAACACCATACCCTTCAACATTTCTCTGATGAAAATAGGGACGTCCTAAGGAAAAGAGGGACACTCTAGGATCAAATCAGAAACAAGGATGGCTTCTATAAATCCGGGACTGTCCCTGGAAAATAGGTACACTTTGGGGCGGGTGTCTGCAAAAGGTGTGATGTGACCTAAACCTCATCTAGGCTTTAGGAACTTTGTTCTCTGAGGGAACATTCTCTCCAGCCCCTGGTAAAACTATGTTTTCGGTTTTTTAACCTAAAAAGGACCTCGTTTGAATGTCTGTTACCTCCTACACTCCATCTTCAGTCTCTTACTAGATGCAAACATGGATGGTTTGAACGCAAGCCAAAAAAATCTACCTTCTTACTTTCAGCTTCATCATGCATCTAGCTGGATGAAGAATTCTGGAGAGCTCACAAGCTTGCATACGGTTTTCTAACATTTTGGTTGGCCATTATACGGACAGTGAGAGAAGACTCAGGACGGTTTCTGATAGAGGGGAGAGAAACAGACTGAGGAAAACATGAGGAATCAGACTCTTTTCAGGCTCAAGGGCTAGATGCTTTGGTTCTGATTAGCATCTTGCTGATACATTAGCCAAGCTGTAAGATAATAGCTTTCAAAATTAGTGGAGCAAATGTTCTGGGAAGAAGCTGAACAATTGTTAAGAGAACTCTGCTGCTTAATTGTTATCAGATCTTTCCCCCTCAGGGAAAGAGGAGGCAGCTTAGGAGGCCTTATTACTTTTCTGTTTTACAACAAAAATCAGTTGGTTATAGGTGGAGGTGAGGGGTAGTTATTATATAGGTGGAGGAGCTTTGATTTTTAGTCTGCTTGTGGGAGGGATATGTAGACTTAATATTAACAGAAGAATTTTAGGAATGGATGGTTAGGAAGGTCTTATGGTCTTTGGCGGATTGATTTGCAGACTTGTTCCTTGTCAAAGGTCCCTGGTTCACTTATTCCCTGGCATCTCTGGGTAGGGTTGGGAGAGACCAATGTCAGAAACCCTGGGAAGCCACTGCAAGGCAGTGTGGACATTACTAATCTTCATCAACACCTGGAGCCAAAAGGTTCCCCACACCTGCCCTAAAAGTTGCGCTCCTTGATACCCTCACGTGAAATACACAGGAGCTGATTCTGGTTCGTTCCATGCTGCCTTACATAGACACAATTTTGCCACATGTTCAGAGACAACCTGTTCCAGGTGTGAGACGGGACATTAGGAATAGTTTCTAGGTCTGGGTCACACCACTTTTCCGAGGGCGTGAAGAAAGAGCTAACAGGAAAGCGGGAAGAGATCCTATTTCCCTCCTCCGTAATTGAGATGAAGGTTTTGCAACGCGGCCTACCCTGAAAGCCTTCTCTGTCCCCAGTGCTGGGATACAGGAGGCGGGTCCTTTGTAACCAGTTGGATTGGGCCTTGTTATAAACTCCTTGTGACCATGCTTATCTGCCTACGTGCCCTATCCCTTTACACCACTGAAAAGGAAGGGTGGACTAATTTCCTTGTCAGTTCTGTCGCCTTGCACTCTCAGGGCGGGACAGCAGTATAATCCCTCTCTTTTCTTCCTTCCTTGTCTTTTCTCAGACCTGCTGCTAGACGACATCGTCCTCACCCACTCGCTGTTCCTGCCCACAGAGCAGTTCCTGCACCAGCTGCACCAGCAATATCCTTTCTGCGTGACGTTTTGGAACGTCCCATAATGGTCGAAGGGTTGGGGGCAGTGGCGTAGCGTGGGTTGTCAGCACCCGGGGCAAGGCAAGTAATTTGCGCCCCCTAACCCGTGGATTTGCGCCCCCTAACCTGTGGATTTGCCCTAACCCCAGATGTTGCGCCCGGTGCGGCCGGCCCCCCCTGCACCCCCCACGCTACGCCACTGGTTGGGGGAAGAAGTGGGGGTGGGGGAGGAATGCATGCCATTCTGACACATTTTCCTGCGGGAGAAACTCTGTTCGGGTCACCTCATATTTCTCATTCTTGTTGCATAGAACCCTGTGGCTTCGACGGGTTTTATTTATTAGTTTTCTTAAGAAAGGTTCATACCTCGCATTTCACTGTGTGTCTCAAAGCAGCTTGCAGAGGAAGAAACAAAACGTGCAAAATGTACAGCACAGGTTTTTACATCAAAAATAGAAAACATTAGAGCAATGTTATATAGCGCAAAGGCCTTCTGAAATGAAACCATCTGCAATGTAACAGTGATGGTGCCTGCCAGTTTTCTAATGGGAGGGAGTAGGCAGAATGTGCTAGTTCAGAAATTTGGCTTTGGAAAACAAATTTAACCTCTTGAGAGTGTGAATTCTTATTGTTCTTGTGCAAAGTCATCCTTTTGGGTCCAAGCAGCACGTTATAGTAAGACGTGTGGGGGAACCACTAATCCACGTATTTTCCAGTGTGTTCTTGATAATATGTAGTGGAAAGAAAATATAAGATGTCACAGCATCTCTTCACTTCCTGCTTCTCTTTATTGGCTGCTGCTTGAAGGAAGCAAGGAAATACTAGCACAATGACATCACACGGGGAGATGTGCATTGATGATGCCCATAAGTCCCCATGGGTCTTACCCTAAGCAGTCTTAACAGTATTGCTTTGAGGATAACATTAGATGATACAGTCCTAGTTTATTTCCCATGTATGTGTCCTTGAACTTTTTGGAGTTTTTGGTGGTCATGGTGATGAGAACCATACACCAATAATAACAAGAAATCTGCTCAATCCCACATCATTTGCCAGGCAGATTAAATCTCAGCCTCTAGTGTGTTGCATTTTGGGGTCTGCCGATCAATCTTCCGCATGTTTACTCAGAACTAAGTTCCTCTTCCTTAGGGTGTATAGGATTGCAGCCTTAATCTCTCTCCTTTAGCCTCATCTGTCAACTTCTCTTGACACACAGGGCTCTCGAGAGAATAAGATAACATTACACAGCTCTGAAAAAATAAACAACCTGGGTGGACTTTGTTAATTTCAGCCAACAGGTAGCAATTAAGCTGCTCCTCCCTGTTAACAGCTCCCACCACCATCACAAATTCTGGTATTGATAGACTGAAGGGGGTGTGGATGTGGGTGTGCGGAATGTGACCTCCTCTGGTTCTGTGAGTTTCTGGTGATGACATACACACAAACATATAACACTGCATTAAAAAATCAGCCCTGTTTTTCGCATTTCCTTAGGAGCGAATTGTACATGACATTTTGTCTACTCTTATCAGCCATCTCAGTTACCCCTATTTGTTTGTTTTCCATCTCATCTCTGCAACCACAAAATCTCGAAACTTGCTTTCTTTTCCCCCCTCGTGGAGACAGTTGAACTTAAATAAACTGGGATTTTCAGGCTACGTAGCTTGCAGGGACAGCCATTGTTGCTTTCATTTGCATTTTTATCTCTTTCTTCCAAAGAGCTTGGATAGTTTACATGGTGCTTGTTCCCATTTTTGTCTTTCCTCACAACAACCCTCTGAGGTAGGTTAGGCTAATGGAAAGTGACTGGGTCCAGGGTCAGGTGGTGAGCTGGATGTCTTGGGTGGGGATCTGAACGCAGGTCTCCTGGTTCACGTTTGAAATGTGAACCACCATACCACTGACATAAATAAATCGAGATTCTCCATATTCTGAATTCTGCACCAAAAGATACCAAAGTCCACAGCCTCCTGGATGGCTGGGGAATATGCAAACTATATCCATTAATGGAGATTGGGGTTGTTGGCCCATTAGTGATCTTTGCAATTTCTGTGATCTGCACTTGCCATCTTGCTGTCTGGACCCAGAATCAACCCACCCCATTCCAAACCTCGTCACTTCGGCTGTCCTCCTTTCTTCCAACCACTCCCTTCTGTGGCCGCAGCCCCGATATTTTCCCTTGACTTCCATGTGGTCACCTTCATGACAGCGTCGACAATCCCATCACCGCCATGTTGGAAGGAAGGCGAAGCCATGCACCGAAAGCGAGCGGTTTTGGTTATTTTGCTTCACTTCCTCGAGACGTACAAGGGGATCTTGCAGGAGGAGGAGAAAGCAGGCAAAGTTATCAAGGTACACCATGACACCCCTAACCCTACTCTCATTATAACGAGAAACTTGTTAAGAAAAGAAGAATAGCAATAGATTGCAAAGTATTAGTCCAGCCAGAGTCCCCCCCCCCATGTCCTTTTGCCTTACTTCGTGGCAAATAGTCATAGATCCAAGGGGGCCAAAATAGAAGGTACCCCCTCCTTTTATATCAGAGCTCAGGCCACTTTCTCTTTTCTCCTAGGACCTGTATCTGCTCATTATGAAGGACTCCTCCCTCTATCACCAACTGGAAGATGAAATTTTGAAGCTTCATCAGCTTGTGGAGACAGTTGAACTCAAGTAAGGGGAGAGGGGGAGTTGGAATATGGAATGCAGAATTTCTCCTGCATGGGGAAACCTCTTAGGCTGCTTTTCCTAAGTGCATTATGTTGCCGGTACTGCATTCACAAGAACGGGTTTCATATAACCTCCTCCACATCTTGGCAAAACAATTGTTGTGGAGGTTTGGCTGCACAAACTTTGCCGCTTTCCGCAGCTGCCATGTTCCTCTGTCACTGCATCTTCCTAGGCAGACCACGGTTTTTCGTTTGTGCATTTGCTGGGCAAAGTTTCAACAAGATAGCTCAGGTTAAATAAGCCCCAGGACTCCTGGAATTAAAACTTATGCGTCAGTAGTTGTTCTCCTCATGCAATCACAACCCCTCTGCATATGGAGGAGTTCTACATGCATACAGTGGCACCCTAGTAGAACGTTTGAACATGGTGTTTGGTGGTGTGCAGGGCCAAATCTCTCCTGTGCAGTCCTGCGACACACACACACACACACACACACACACACCTACACACTTGCTTTCTTTGCTTAGAGGGGATGATGTGAACTTCCCCAAAGGTTGCAAACTAAGAGGTCATCTCCTTGGAACCAGAAATCAAGGAGGGCCATGCTCTTAACCACTATGCTACACCTAGTTCTGAATAGTGGAAGCTTTCATAAAGCTGAGGTCACCGCAATCCTTGTTACTTTGCAACCCAAACAACCTACTTATACCTTTCATGCTACTGATGTATATAAGAACATAGAAAACTTAGGGTTTTTCCACATTTACCTTTCGCCCTGTGCTTTCCAGGTCCAGGAGACAACTCTTGGGGTAAATATTTAGACTCTTCTAATAGTGGGTTGTTACAAGCAGCAGCCTACTTTCCCAACAATCTCCCTGGCCAAACTGCCTCTGAAATCCCTAAATCAGGATTGGGGAACCTGTGGTCCTTCAGATGTTGTGTTACTCCCAACTCCTATCAGCCTTAGCCAGCATGGCCCAGTGGTTGGGGATGATGGGAGTCAAGCCACATCTGCAGGACCCCTGGCTCCCTGCCTCTGCCCTGAATGCTCCTTAGAAACTGCATTCAGAAATTCAGACTCCTTAACCCCTCACAGAATGGCACGGATGCCCTCCTCCTCTGAAAATTTCCCACATTGTGGCCCGTGTTGCTTGCCACTTTTCTAGCTTCTAAATCTTGCCTTCTTGGCTGCAGGGTGACTGAAGAAAGCCATCCCCCCAGCAAGCAAGTCAAACCCCTTTTCAGGCATTTCCGGCGCATAGATTCCTGCCTCCAGACACGGGTGGCTTTCCGTGGCTCAGATGAAAGTGAGTATTAAAGGAGATGGGGGTGTTGGCGACGGTCGTGGTGGGGTTCCCACTTGGATTGTCTTTAAAAGGGCTGATGAGTGCAGCTGCGGACATGGTTCTGCAATTCCACCCATAAATCCTCCTCATCAAATTACAACCATAGAAAGCTTTGGCAGCACACAAATAATAGAACAAAATCACTTCAAAAGCTTGAGTGAAAAGGTAAAGCTTTATCTGGTGCTAAAAGGACCAGGTGGACCTCTCTGGGGAGAGCCTTCCACAGACTAGGAGCCGCAGCTGGGAATGCTCCCCCTAACATCACCCTCCAAGTCTCCCTCAGAGGAGGGGGCTGGAGAAGAGCCTCTGGGAAGCCCCTCAAGGTTGTGAGGATGAGTCAACAAAGGGGATTGAATCCCACAGCGACAGTAGGCCGAATCCCCTCCTTATTGCAGGATGATTGTTATTTTTAGTTTTTCCCAGACGGAGTATATTTGTTCACCATGGCTGTCCTTTGCTGGCTACGGATTCCAACCTCCAGCCTCTCGGCTCTGTTTCTTTCTAGTCTTCTGCCGTGTTTACATGCCAGACCACTCATATGTCACCATCCGCAGCCGCCTCTCGGCCTCCGTGCAGGACATCCTCGCCTCGGTGACTGAGAAGCTCCAGTACTCGGATGAGCAGCCCACCCGGGAGGAGGCTCTCATCCTGGTGGCAGTAGCGTCCTCAGGAGGTAACTCCCGAGAGCTGGGGTGGGGGACAAGGCAACAATGGCAGAGCGACAATTCCCAGAGCGATTTAACAATCAGTCCCTCTTCCCAGGGAACTCTGGGAATTGTAGCTCTGGGAAGGGAATACGGGTCTCCTAACAACCCTCCGCATTCTTAACAACTTATAGCTTCCCAAATTTTTTAGGAGGAGCTATGGTTGTTTAAAGCGGTATCATAATGCTTTTAAACGTATGTGTGAATGTGGCTATAGTCCAATAATATCTGAAGGGGCCATGGGTTTCTGACCCTCTGCCCTAATAGAATCCTGGCCACATTGCACTGTGAGCAAGTGCCCTATTTCCATATGCCTCAAAGAAGTGGTCTACATGCCGGAGCGGAAGGGGTGTTTCGGGGTGTGGGGGAGCAAGAGTCCCTGTCCAATTTGAACTTGAGGAAAAACCCTACTAGACCCTGAACATAAACAAATATATAACATTTCCACAATACAAACAATAATATGCGTCTGTTTTGAGATATGCTCCTGCTGTTGCTCCAGATTGTTCAGGAACTCTTTCTTTCCTTGCTTTTTGCCAGAGAAATCTGTGCTACAGCCCAATGAAGAGTGTGTTTTCACTACCCTGGGGATAAACAGCCATCTCTTTGCCTGCACTAAGGAGAGTTTCCCATCGCTGGTGAGTGAGCTCCTTTCTTCCGCTCTGCTCCTCCCTCGGCTGGCAGGGACTTTTTGTCATGCGTGTGCTGTGATACGTTTCTTGGTGTAAGCAGTAGCGTAGAGGTAAATTTTGATGTGCAGGAGCTCTTCATGACAGCTCCTATAGCAGTATATTGTGTAATACCCAATTTATCAGGCTCAGCTGACAGTCATAGAGCATGTTAGGGATGCAGGTGGTGCTTTGGTCAAAACCACTGAGCCTCTTGGGCTTGCCGATCAGAAGGTCGGTGGTTCGAATCCTCGCGACAGGGTGAGCTCTGTTGTTCTGTCCCAGCTCCTGCCAACCTAGCAGTTTGAAAGCACGTCAGTGTAAGTAGATAAATAGGTACCGCTTCGCGGGAAGGTGAACGGCATTTCCGTGCGCTCTGGTTTCTGTCACAGTGTTCCATTGCGCCAGAAGCGGTTTAGTGATGCTGGCCACATGACCCGGAAAGCTGTCTGCGGACAAATGCCGGCTCCCTTGGCCTGAAAGCGAGATGAGCACCGCAACCCCATAGTCGCCTTTGACTGGACTTAACTGTCCAGGGGTCTTTTACCTTATGTTAGCTAGCAAAGTGTGGTGTATTGATAGTATGTTGGAATTTGGCCGAGGAGACCTGGGTTAACATCCCTGATCAGCCAGTTGGCATGACTACGGTCCTATGCATAATTACCCTGAGAGTAAGCGCCATTGAACTCAGGGCCGTGTACTTCTAATTGCATAGATTCAGCTTGTAGAACACATTGAGCTTTAATGAAAGGCCTTCAGCCAGCTGAAATGCAGCCTTTAGATTCTAATTAGCAGTGCAAACAACCCAGCAAAGAAGTGTTACCATTAAATTGCCAGCGTGAAGTAGGTACCCTATCAAGGAAAAGGGGGGAAAGTGTTCAATCTCTGCTTGATTATTTAGCTGCACTTCCTCTGTCCTAAACCTTCACTAGTAAAACCTGAAAGCCCTTGTTATCACCTCATTCACTTTCCAGAACAAGGAGGTCCCCTCAATCACCCTGGTGGGGTCTGGTAGGTGACATCGTCTCTCTTGCACTGAAAAAGGATTCCAGCCCCTGCCCCACTGTGAGCTTCTGTGCCTCTGTGGGATCAGGGAGCTGCAGTTGCCAGAAAGACTCCGCCCCCCCTTGTGCTCTAAAAACACCCAGGTTTTCTTCTTGGTTCTAACACACACACTGGAATCTCTCTCCATGCTCTTCACAAACTTGGCCTTTCCTCCAGGTCCCTCTCCCTGAGGAAATCCAGGTGTCGCCAGGTGACACGGAGATCCACCGGGTTGAAGCTGAGGATGTGGCGAATCACCTCACAGCCTTCCACTGGGAATTGTTCCGTTGTGTCCATGAGGTAACAAAAACAAATGTGCCCCCATAGCTGGTGAGCACGGAGGAAACTGGGTGAGGGAGTTGGATTGGAAGTCTGAAAATGTTCCAACTTAAGAAGGATGTGCATGGCCTTCAGAAGTGATTGGCAGCTAGGTTAAGTGCCAATATTACAGGCTGGATACCCTAATTCAGGGGGTGAAGAGTTTGTTTCAGCGTGAGGGCCACATTCCTTCATGGGCAACCTTTGAGCGGCAGTCACATGACAATGGTGGGCAGGGCAGAGGCCAAAATGGGTGGAGCAACAGTTGTGAGCCTTACCTTGGTTCAGCAAAAGAGCCACACACAAGGCAAAGGCACTTGAGGAAAGTGCAGAGCAGGGCTGGTGATGGGTGTGGCGTGGGGAAGAGTCCTACGGGCCAGATAGACAGGCCTTCAGCCCCTGGGTTCCCTATCCCTGCCATAATAGGGTGGTGCCTTCACATTCAGAGCAGCCACAGATGAAGGATCAAACTGCATGGGATGTTAATCGCATGGTTTGCCCTCAAGTGCACGATTCAGGAGACAATTAGCATGTCAGGGAAAGGGATAGGTGTCTCCTTGGCAGCTAGCTTTCTTTGTGGAGGGAATTCCACCATTGCCCCATCCCAAGGAGCATTCAGTCATGGGAGCCCCTCTCCCCTCTGAAGTGGTGCAGCCCAGAGACATGGTTTGATCATCTCAATGAGAACTAGGTCCTCAATTCCATTATTCTTATGTTCCCTCTGTGTAATCTCTCCTCTGCCCCTTCTCCATCTTTGATCTATATAAAAAGGACTGAAGGATGAAGCCACTCCTTTTAACCGGATAGCTGGTGTTGTGGTTGTAAGGCAGGGACACTCAATGTGTCCCCCTGCAAAGTGGGGCTGAACTACAATTCCTGGGACCTTTGACCTCTGGCAGTGCTGGCTGAAACTGATGTGAATTGTAGCCCACTAATATTTTTTTTGGGGGGGCGGGGGTAACCACATTGGCTACCCCACTGTGTGGAGTGAGGCGTCCTTTCCCTTCACTACAGGCCAGGGGAGGGCTACAGGCACGCAGGCTATTAACTTCTGCTCTGGCATCCTTGTTTGTAGCTGGAATTCGTGGACTACGTGTTCCATGGGGAACGTGGTCGGCGAGAGACAGCCAACCTAGAGCTGCTGCTGCAGCGCTGCAGTGAAGTTCAGCACTGGGTGGCCACGGAGGTGCTCCTGTGCGAGTCGCTGGGGAAGCGGGCCCACCTGCTCAAGAAGTTCATCAAGGTGGCAGCCGTGTGAGTGCCGCATCTTAACCCTTTTCTGTCTGGGGCCAGGGTAGAGACATGCAAAGATCAAGCCTTTGGCGACTGTTTGAAGACTTTGCACAACCTGAACAGCTTCTCTTCTTTCCCACAATGCATTCTGAAATCTCCCCCCCCCCCCGTTTCCCCAATTAACGGCGGTGTCACTAAGTTACGGAGTTGCGTAAGGAGCTCTGCATCTTAGAAATGTTGCTCAGGTGCACCTTTGGCTTTCTGAGATTTGAGCAGGAGCTGTCCACACATTTTCCAGCATCACAAGGACTAGGAACTTTACTAAATCTGAAAGCTGAGATTCTGCACCTGCTGCGCCTTTTCTGCACTCCTACAGAATCACATCACACACCCAGCCTCAAGTTTACAAAGTAGTCGCCTCTGTCCAACAGAGTTCCTGCAGCTACTCCAATATCTGAGAAAACAGGGTTGCAACGGTTTTGGTGCTTTGTCGCCGCTTGGACATGTAACTGGCTCTCCATGCACTAAGAGACACAATTTGAGAAGTCTCTTAGGTGGCTGCTACATAGCATGTATTAATTTGAATCCCCTCTCTGAGATTGTGTTCCTTACTTGCATGGGGTGCCAGTTTCAGTTCTGTCCAAAGTGGAGGCTGTTCTGATAGGGCAAAAGGGGCACTGTGTCATCAACCTCAGTCTGCTTTAAACCAATCCCTGCCTTCCCTACCTTCTTTCTTAGAATCAGTCCAGTGTGTGACACTGCTTGGCCGCTTCTTCCTTAGTCCCAGTGTTGCCCTTGTAGAACTCAGCAGGGAGGAGGGTGGGGACAACGCTAGAATTAGTTGGCTCTGCCTGCCTACTGTCAGTCTGCCTACTGTCTTCCTCCTCACCAATCTCAATGGGTGCCACTGCCTGTGCAGTAATTTGGGCTAAATGTAGTTGGATTTACCAGCTTAAATCTTTCCCCTAAGAATGGACGATCATGTTTTATTGAGCAAAAGTGCTTCACACACCAGTAGAGTAAGTTACTTTCAAAGTAGCCTTCAAATTCTGTTTGCCACCCCTTTTTCTTTCTGAGGCTCCTGTATCCTTAAGGGCTGCATGATAGGCAGAGAGCCATGACAGGGGGCATTTCCAGGCACAGAGAGGCAACAGTGGGGGGAAATTCACTTGCCGAATTCCTGCCTATTCCACTGCTGCTCAAAGCATTGGAGCCCTACCAAGAAAAAGGTGTCAAATCCTACTCAGAAGAATTGGAGCTATCTGAACCCACAATCATCTACCCACTGCTTCCAAGTCATCACCGTAGTTTTGGTAGTGGCAGCGGCATCGAATGACTGAGGTGGTTTTGACAGCAGCAGTGAGTAAGCAAGCGGCCAACATTGAGAGCAGGTTGGAGTGCTCTGGGAATGCGGAGAGGCACTCCAATCTCTTCCAATGTTTCCGAAGGGCTGCTGAAACACTGGAGAGGATCAGAGTGGTCCTTCCTGCTTTCAGGGTGTTCCCACCAGCCAGCCATGGTGGTGGCTTTTCTCAGCTTTGGTGCAGAACTTGCCACCCAACCCACCATAATTGCAGTAGTGGCGGCTTGCTCAGGGCCACTGTGTCTGTGTGGTGAGTGTGGATGTGTCTATATGGGGAGGATGTGTTATGCATGTACTTCATTTGTGGTGCATGTGTCTGTATGTGTGGTAGCCATGCCCACCACTTGGACATGGCCCTCAGAAAGTTAGTGCAATCCTTGGGTTGAAAAGGTTAGCCACCCCTGCTTTGATTAGCACCTGGACGCAATAGCTTCCTTTGCCTCACTGCTTCCTGCTGAGCACACTGGTGAATTGCCCCTTCATTTCCCCACAGTCAGTCCTGTTCCTCATGTGGGTGGGTTAATGCCTGAGTTTCTCTTAGCTTTTGAAACAAAGCAAATGATGGCCATGAAAATATGATTGTAATTAACCTATTTATCAGCAGATATGCATAGGAACAGATTGATAAAGGGGAATTAATCAGTAATAGCTTGGCTGCACTCAAGAAAAAGCAAACTGGAAGCAGAAACTGCACAAAGGAAGCTTCTAATTAAAGCTGTAGGGTGTTTTTGCTGAACAGGATTTAACTTCTGAGTAAATGGTATAGAAATATATTGATCTGGGGGTCTGGTTTTGTCCTGTTATATTAAGCAGCCTATTGAACCTCATTCTGCTTCCAGGCGATTGCAGAAAAGTAATGCCTCAGCATTACTCAAGTCCCTTGTCTGTCAAACTGCTTATAACTAGGGCTGGGCAAAATTTGTGTTTGGAATTGATAATGAAGCATAAAGTTCATTTGCATAGGCTTGGTTTGCAAAGTTGTAATCTGAAACCTTTGAGGAAAATAAATCCACGGAGAAGGAAATGTTTTATTAAGATGTGCAATTGTTTGCAAAGAGGCTATAAGGAGCTTCCTTATTCTGAATCAGACGACCAGAGTGCAGTGCCAGAAATCCGTGGGAGACAGGGCTGAACAAGAATTTCACTGGATGAAGATTGGGGTGGGGCTTCAGTGCCCTGCAAAATAGAGGGGAATTGCAGAATAAGTTGTGCAAATGTACTTAATTTATGTAATTTTTACATGTTGTAGAATTCAGAATTTTAATTTTTGTTTGTTTGCTCTGCACAAAGTGCACATGGCCCCAGCCATGCTAAAAGTGTACCGTACCTCCTCAGGGTAAAGGTAAAGGTAAAGGGACCCCTGACCATTAAGTCCAGTTGCGAACGACTCTGGGGTTGCGGCGCTCATCTCGCTTTACTGGCCAAGGGAGCCGGCGTACAGCTTCCAGGTCATGTGGCCAGCATGACTCAGCCACTTCTGGCGAACCAGAGCAGCACACAGAAATGCCGTTTACCTTCCCACCGGAGTGGTACCTATTTATCTACTTGCACTTCGATGTGCTTTCAAACTGCTAGGTTGGCAGGAGCTGGGACCGAACAACGGGAGCTCACCCCGTCGCGGGGATTCAAACCACCAACCTTCTGATCAGCAAGCCCTAGGCTCTGTGGTTTAGACCACAGTGCCACCCGGGTCCCAAAGTGCACCCGCACCTCCTCAGAGTGGTGCCTGTCAAAACAGAGATCTGAGCATGGTGGCATTTGGTGATTAATAAATAAATAAATCTCAAGACTCTTCTTCTAACTGTATTCCAGTGCAGGATGCTCTATCCCAAGTGTTTTGAAAACACTTTGGCTGCACTAGCACAGAACACTAATCTATGGTTTGCTTCCCCATGACTTGTTTAACAAACCACAGATTTCACAGATAAGCAAACAAGCCATGCCTTGCTTCTCTAAAGCTTGGCTTGCTTCCCAGTTGCTTTTGCCTTGTGCCTTTGTAGCTTGGTGAGTGTATTGGGTGGGGGGGGAGTAGCCAAACAAACCATAGTTAAGCATAGTTTGTTAGGGGTCAGACATGCCAAACCATGGTAATGACATCATGGTTTGTAAGCCGACCACAAACCATGGCTTCACATTATGGCTTGTAGCCAGAAATACAAGCCATAGTTAGGCTGCTGGATTGACTTCAGACATTCGGACAAGCCATACTTCAGCTAAGCACACTGTGGCTTTGTGTTATGCATGAACCTTTATGGGTAGCCGTTTCCTAGTCACTCTTTCCCACTGAAAGGAAGGAAAGAAAGACGAAAGAGAGAGGGAGACTGAAAGAAGATGTTGGGGAAAGTGGGTGGGTTAAGAGTTTAGTATGGGGGAGAAGCCATGAGGCAGTGAAGCCAATGGTCTGCAGATGCAGGGAAGAGATAGTGTGGGGCTTCGTGAGTGGAGACTACAGGTGACCACCTTCCCGTGTGGTTCCATGTAGTCAGCTTTTGGTCATCTTCCAATTCTGTGAATTCACCCTGAAATATTCATGTCTGCAGATGGCCAAAGTCTGTGCCTTTACACAACAAAATTGCTGCTGCTTTCCCCTGCCTTCCCATCTTTGCTCTGGTCTTGTTGTGTTCAGCTGCTGCTGGGAATCCCTGTCTGCCTTTCCCCCGCATGCTCAGGCTGCCTTCCGCCTCCCTGGGCGCTAGTGGCTGGTGAAGTCACAACCTTGACACCATCACCCAGAGTGACTCTAACAGCCCACGACAGCTGTATTATAGCTTCGGCTTCCTTCTCAGCTTGCTTCCTGCATTGAGGAGTGGGGAAAGGAGGCCAGAAAGGCTGGAGGCTGGAGTGAGGAGCTGAGCAGAGCCATGTACTTGGAAGTGGGTTTGGTTAGGCTTTCTGGTCTTGAATACTATGAATCATAAGTGCTTGGGTTGTAGAGAGGGCCTGTGGCCTCCTGGTTTTTATTTTTTTGCAGTGGCCCCCGTATGCTACAGGTGGTGGGAGCTGTGGGTTGGGGCTTGTGGGTTTCCTTAAGGGGAACCACTCCGGCACACTCCATAATTCAGTTACTATTGATTTGCATTTGCTTTCTGTCCAGAGGATGCTAGGTGATGGATGCTGAATGTAGGAGCAAAGTGGCTGCTGTTCTAGAGAGCTTACAATGGTTATCCCAGCAGAGGCTTTTGCAAGCTTGAGCTTTATCAGTGTCTGACTTCTTACCTGCCCCCCTTTTCCCCCTCCCCACAGATGTAAACAGAACCAGGACATGTTGACGTTCTATGCCGTGGTTATAGGGCTCAACAACGCACCTGTCAGCCGTTTGCGTCTCACCTGGGAGGTAAGAAGAACCAGGGAGCCTGATTTGTTCACATATGTATGTGGGGGTGGGGTGGGGGTGGCACGGCTATGTGTAATCCTGCCCAACCCCATCCAGATTCTGCAACTAAGCAGTTCCTCTTCTACAGTCAAAACCCCAAAATCTACACATTGGTTCGTTGGCTATTTAAAACAGCAGCAGCTGGTTTGGTGGGGCGGAGCTGTCCTCTTGACATGGCTGTCATTGTAGCTTACCTAGGCAGAGTTGGGGTGAGGCCGGGCCCTGGTAAGGTCAGGGCAGTACCTACTCTGTCCTGCCCCACCCCAGCGTCCTTTGCCCTCTCCCCACTGGCCGCTGCTGGGGCGGGGTGGTTGTAGCCTTATATCCTACAAGTTCAGCCGAGAGTAGGCCCTTGTGGCAATGAACAAACGTAAAACACGTGTAATATAAAAAGCAGCTTAGAAACAATGCAGAAATGCTGAAAACCAAAAGCACTTCTGCAGAACCAGGGAACTCGAGATGAACCAGCAAGAAAACCAAGGCTTCAGAGACACTAAAAGGATCTAATTGTGGAAGCAGCTATGCTCTTGTGTATACTTTAGAAAAAATAATTAAAAGTGAATAAATGCAACACTTTATGTTAACACCCAAATTAAGAACAGATTCTCAGAAGCCAAGGTGGATCATAACAAGGCAACACTCACAGCTCTCAGGTTGGTATGTGTGGGTTGGGTTCAGTTTTCCAGAACCCCTTCTCTCTCTCTCTCTCTCTCTCTCTCTCTCTCTCTCTCTCTCTCTCTCTCACACACACACACACACACACACACACACACTTACTTTCTCTTTAATATCCACCCACACTCCTTCCTCCTCTCTGTATTTCCAGCCCTTCTGCAATTGCAGTCTTTCCTGTTTGCCAGGAGTTGTGGGTGCACGTACTTTTATGAAAGGGTTTTCCCCCTCCTTTCCTTTCTTGTGCTCCTCCCTAAGAATTCACACATAATCTTTGCCATCAAACTGGGTCATCATCCCGGAGGAGGGAGATAAACAAGGAGCCATCAGGCTTCTGGAAGCAACAGGATCCTCCCCTGTGGGAAATGGTCCTGATCCCGGCTAAACATAGCTGGGCATTCAAGAAGCATTGCTGCCTCCGGCTGTGGAGGCAGGTCATAGCCTTCAAGGCTAGTAGCCATTGATAGTGTTATCTTCCATGAATTTGTCTAATCCTCTTTCAAAGCTATCCAAATTGGTGGCCACCGCTGCCTCTCTGATTGAATTATATAACACAAAGTATTATATTGCCTCAAATGTGGACAAGCCCGTGGAAGTAAGATTCAGCGGCCGCTCCAATCAACTTCTGTGTATGGAATGGGGAAGGGACAATTTTCTCCTTCACCTCAGGCGGGAAAATGTGTTGAATTGGCCCCGTCACCATATTATATGCTTTCTAAGCTTGGGTGTCAAGTGAATATATTCTTGTTTGGCTAAGTCTTTAGCTGTTGCACCGCCAAAGCCAGCGCTTAAGATGGCTTGTAGGATAATATCTGTATTTACCGTGCCACTTTGAGGGCGCAACCCCAGCCAAATCTAAGAACATTTTAAGTCTCGTTGATTTCTGTCGGAGAGAGTTAGGCAACTGCTTTCTGATGAAAATCAATGAGACTCAAAAGAGCTTATGCGTTCACTCAGAGGCTGATAGCTGTGACAAATGAATGTCACACGAGCTCCGTGTATAGAGGCAGAATGCTTCTGAATACTAGGTGATTGTGGAACGTTGTTTGCAGAGCTTGGTTAGGGGCTCCAAGAGGCATCAGGCTAGCAGGCTGCTGTTAGAAGCACAACACTGGACTCAGTGGGAGATGATGGATTACCATATTTTAGCATAATAAGTTGAGGTATGAATGAGCTTTTGGCTCAGGGCCGGCCCTGTCATTAGGCAGAATGAGCTGGCTGCATCTGGTGGCAACTGCTGGGGGTAGAGGGTAGGCAGGAGCAGTGAGGTGTGCCACACAGCCTGCCTTGCGCCCTGTAAAAGTGAGCCTTCTGCCCTGTGCTGGAGGACTCTGCCCCGTCACCAGTGTTGCAATATAATCCAGCTATCAGTCTGGTTGGCGTCTGCACACAGAACTGGGGCAGGATGCTATTTTCTCCCTCAGGCAAGTGCTTTTGCCTATACATGCATCCCCTTTTGCTCTCTTTCCTTTTACACGAGCCAGCAAACAAATCAATAATTTCCCCACTGATTTTAGCTTCCCGTTTTGCCCAAACTCTGTGAGCGACCCAGTGAACTTCCATTAACAGGTGAAACATAAATATTGCAAATAAACAAATAGCAGCAGCTGCAGCTTTGGAGACTTCTAAACCATGGCTTGAAGTAGACTTAATATCTTGGATTGTTCCAAAGCTGTTTTCAGGCTTCAGTGAAATGTGAAACTAGTTAATGGAAGTTTGTGGTGTCTTTGCTCACTTGCAGGGAGGGGAGGGAGGCGCAAAGGGGCTATATAGGCGAAAGACCCATTCATAAGGGCTCTGTCATATATTGGCATATTAAACCCAAGGTATCATCAAACGTCATCAAAACCATCCGATTCACAAAGGCGGTTCTTAGGTTTTTCTGGATTATGTTCATGTTTGCTTGTTGCTTACTTAATTGTATTTATGTATAAAAGCATTTCCGTACCTCAGTATCATAAAGTATTATCATTATATACAACGTTAAAACATAAGGAGCTATTCAAAACCATGCAGATAATCATTAAAGTGACTGGCTAATAAGAAGAAAGAGAAGTTAGCTGCAAAGGCTTGTTGACATAAGAAAAGTCTACAAGAGATGCTTGGAAGTCAAAAGCGAGGGTGCCTGTCGCATCTCTGCTGGAAGTGTGTTCCATAACATGGGACCAGTGTCGCTAAATGCCTGGCTTCTGGCTGAGGTCTCTATAACATGGGGGACAGTGCCCCTACAGATGATTATGTTGCTTAAAAATGTATGTATGTATGTATGTATGTATGTATGTATGTATGTATACCCTTGGATGGCTTTTTAAAGTGGAAATACAGTATGGAAAATGTTAAAAGGTTTGGGGAAAAAATATTTCACAATAGTTCAAAACATGTTTTGGTGCTGGGGAGTCTTGGGTTTCCTTTCTCCTAAACTGAGCCTGCCACACCCTTGAGGGCTGAGGGCAGTGCCTTGTGTCGGGCAAGTCGCTGCACATTGCATGTGCACATTGCATGTGCGCTCCCAGACATGCTGCCCATCGGAGTTAGTTCAGCACCAACACCTAGGCTGACTCATTGCATGAGACAAATCATGTTTGGCACATTTCCCCGGGTTGGTTCATCCACTCCCCAAAATATGCAACGAGGTTACCGTGAGACAAACAGGAGACAGGTCTTCCATAAGAACCTAAGATGAGCCTTGCAGGATCAGACCAAAAGCCTATCTGGTCCTGCATCCTGCTTTCACAGTGGCCAGTGAGGTGCGAATTGGCCCTCTGCTAGTGTGCCTTGACTAATACTGAAGGCAGTATATAGCCACAATGACTACAGTGGGCATTGATAAGCCGTACCCTCTGTGTAAATCCATCACATACATGTCTGACTGCTCTTAATACCAGGTCTATTCATATAGCCTTGGAGGTATGCATTATAACTGTGCACCACTGAGGCCATAGACTTGTTATTTACCCCAAATCCAGATCCATGGAATGCAGGTTTTCCAGTCCCATTCTGGAACTGGCATTTTGGACATGAGCCCAGACCCAGAGTTGAAGCCTGCGCTGCAGCTAGCCCAGCTCAGGACCTTCATACGGCCTGCCGCGATGTTGCACTCCCCTGTTAGCTCATTGGAGGAAAAGATAGTATTATCAATGTGATAAATAAATAAGACCTATCGAGTCACTGTTTTGAACTGAGTTTTTTTCATTTGCTTTTTTCCAGAAGCTTCCAGGGAAATTTAAAAACCTGTTCCGGAAATTTGAGAACCTAACGGTGAGCCCTTTTGCACTTCCTCTGTTTAGAGCTAGAGTAGAGGCCCGCACTCTATTCTCTGCTTTAACTATCTTCTGTCTAGCCTTAAGCAAACCCTTATCACTCCTCTTATGGTGCCTCCTGACTGTCACTGTTTTGAGTCATGTATGGACCAGAACTTTAGGTTTGTGCAGTTGAAGTGGATTAAAGTTCGCTGTTCCAAAAGCTCCACAAATCCAATTTTTAAAAAATAACAACAGACTTTTGCTGTTAGGAAAGTGATGTAGAAATGCATTGAAAAGTGTGAGATGAACCAATAATTAGAGGGGAGACCTATAAATATCCCACAACCAATTGAAGATGGATGCAGGATGAATGATCACTGTCATGTAACTTAGGGTTTCCATATTTCAAAAAGTGAAAATCCAGACACAAAAGTTGTGCCAAATTGAAATTTTGGGCTATTTTTATGGAATTCACCAAAATATACACTTCCGACATGGGTTGCCACACGTCCAGATTTTCCCAGACACTGTTTCTGATGGCTGAATCCCAGCTATGTCCAGGAAATTCCAGACGGAGGGCAACCCTATTTAACTACCCTATAAACAAATCAGAAAGAATGTTGAATCAAGATTAGACACAGTCTAACCACCTTGTAAGCTTTGTGCAAGCAAATGCTAAATAAAGATGCCTAATTTAAATAATATTTAAATTTCAGGGTTGTGATAACGATCACTGAGATGAGATATCTCTATCATTTTTGATCCAGTTAGGAAATATACTATGTAAATACAAAGTTGTATAGCTATTCCATCCCCAACAATCAGGATATGGCATGGGTCTTTTGCCCTTCGATGATCTCAGATCTGTAGTGTGAAATACCCCTACTGCTGTCCTCTAGCAGAAAATAACTTTTTTACTTCCTTAATGCAGCAGTTTCCAGACTGTGCCGCAGAGAACCCTGGGGCTCTTTGGAAGCTCATTGGAACTCCTTATGGAGAAGTTTGGGGACAGTAGAGAGATTCCCTGAAAGATAGGCCCACTACTTCTGATCTCCTGCACAACATGCAGCTGTGGAAGATTTGTAGGTTTTGTTCTAGGTTACACTCTCAGTACAGATGCAGCAACAGCAGGGAACCTGTGGCTCTTCAGATGTTGTTGAACTAAAACTCCCATCCGCTTCAGCCATCATGGCCAGTGGAGAGTTGCCTAGTGCGAGTCCAGCTTCCTCATCTCTGAGGTAGGGCAGTGAGTGAAGCCCAAGAGGCCTAGCACAACTGAAGTGAGTGTCCCCCAAACATGACCTTGCATGCTCTGCAACCATGTATTGGCTCCACATCATACAAGTTAGTGGGAAAAGAATTCTCTGCTGGTAGGGAGATTTGAAATCACTACCTTGATAAATTAATTAGTCAAGGAGATGGGTTTTCATCGTCAGGAGGTCACAGATAAAAGAAAGATTGTGACCATTCCCTTCTCTTTCCCCCCTCAGTTTCCTTTTCTCACCTTCCTTTTTTTTTTAAAAGCCCTTTGTTTCTAGTCCAGACTTTCTTCATATTTTAAAAATAATATTTTAAGAAGTCCCATCTCCAGATGCACCTGCACTTAACAGTGTTAACTTTTTGGTCTTATGGCCCCAGCTGTACTTTGGCAGCAGTTGTTTTTCTGCATCTTCCTCCAGCCGAGAAACAACAGCGTCTTTTTCTCTCTCTTTCGCCTTGCAGGACCCCTGCAGGAATCATAAAAGCTACAGAGAAGTCCTCTCGAGAATGAAGCCCCCCATTATCCCCTTCGTGCCCCTCATCCTAAAAGGTGAGTCACACCCGCTGGAGCGGGGGTTGCTGTTTTTGAACTGGGGTGTGTAGAAAGCTTTGTCTTGGCTATCCTGGTCGGGGCTTAATTTGAACTAGGGGCACTTGAAAAAATAACGTACCTCTGTAGGAAAAGCTCGCTTGCAGTGTCCTGTCACACTGAAGTGTGACCAAGAAAGAGAACCCTGAACCAGAAAGGGCGGGGCTATGCAAAATAGGGCCAGGCTCGATTCCCAATGAAAGGGGTGACCATGTCTGACTCACATTGCAGAGGTGACTGTGAGTACATGCTGTCTTTCCTCCCTATACATGAATGTTTTCTGTTCACTCCTATGGGAAAGATAGATTTGGGGTCTGTGTTTTGATGAGTTTTTAACCAGCCATCACTGGATGGGATCGTGAGTGTGTGCAAGTGCACACACAGTGTGTTTCAAACACTTCACCTCCCCTGTCACCTGAGTCCTTGCAGTTTATAAGCCCTCCCTACACTGTATACAGCCGCTGTCATCGTAAGAGCATGTGCAGAGTTCCCCTTTCTCTCATCATTTAATTGCCACAAACCATCCTGGGTGCCTGGGCTTGGAGGGAAGCGCTTCCAGGCCATAGTTACAACCAGGCACCTTTTTAAAAATTAGAATTTAACTGTTGCCATGCTACCACTCCTCCTCTCTCCTCTCATAAACTTTTCCTCTTCTTTTTTCCCCTTCTAACACTCAGATCTGACATTTTTGCATGAGGCTAGCAAAACCTTGGTGGACGGACTAGTCAATGTAGAGAAGCTGGTAAGAACATCCCTCCCCTCCAAGTCTTTTGCCCCTGCATGTTCTTCTGTCTTCAGTGCCGAGCACAATTACTTAAACTCCACAATGGGAATAATAACCAGAGAACTGGGAGGAATCCAAAAGCTATCTATTCCAACCTGTTGCATGAGACAAATCTGTACCCCAAAGTGGGAGGCTGTGAAGTTAAATAGGAAAGCAGTTATCCATATGATAAAGGATCGGGCAGTTTTTAAAAGCACTGCAACGACTGCAGAAATTTTGGACGGGAATAAGCAAGAACAGGGCTGACCACCTGTTGAAGAAATGAGACGTTCTGTCGAGTTACAGCTCGGCATCCAAAGAAAAATCAGTCTCACACCATGATAGGTTCCGAAATATGGCTGCTCCTAGGGCTAATGCAGCACAGCTTTTATTGTCTGAAATCAGAAAGATACAAAATACAAGCCAAGCAATTTGTTCTAGCCAGCAGATAAGGACCTTCGTACTAGACCATGCGAGCGATCAGGCTATGCTACGTTAGCCAATCATATAGGACAGCACGAGCTGTTCACGCGCTGTTCATGCTCCAAGGATGCTTCTAGCTATGAAATCACCCTGTAACAATAAGAACTTTGCTCATGCTCTCATGTACAAGCAATCATTTCCCCACATATCCCCTTTTCTTGTTTATATTATTAGAGGAAAAGAGGGACCATCAGTCCAAATCGTACACTTCATTGCCTACGCGTCTACACTTTGCAACATAAATTCCTCTTGTAACCCCTGTGGTGGGCCGTGGTCGGTACCACCATGCAGTGCATTGGGAAATCAAAGAGGGTATGCATTGAATGCAACAACACACCATAATGAAGCCAGCAATACATGCAATTACAATCAATAATATTTTTCTTAACCATAATCCATTAGGTAACCAAGAAGACAACCACTCCCATGGATCAAAACCTTCAGGTGGATTCAAAGGATTATGGGCTATCATTTGTTCCATATGATCAATAGTAGCAGAGATATTGGTCGATTGATCAGTTATATACATGCAGCAATGAGAATAAATTAAGGCACAAATTCCACCTTTAGAAGCAAGGATCACATCTAAAGCATAATGATGTTGAAGAACTACATTTCTTATTTCTGATATTTCTTTGTTAATCATTTTTAAAGCCAAAATGGTGGAATTAAACAAATTTTCTGTCCAGTTTGCCAATTTATGCAAATCACGGTAATTCATGGCTGCACCTAAAGAAGGCAGAAGGGACCTAGAGATGGCTGTCCCTGTATATTGAGAAATAGGTGATAGTACTTCCCTTCTGTTACGCAAACGGACCGCTGGGAGCTTATCTATTTTATACACCAAGGGTACTACTATACCTAACGTGCAGGTACCAGAAAAGGCAGAGGGGATTTCTTTGTAGGCACGTGTGCCACAAAATAACCATAAATCAGATTGAAGCAAACATGTAGTTCTGCTGCTCTTTCTCATCCAGTCGAACCAAACATAAAAGTCTCTACACGCAGCTTGTTGTTCATAGGTCATGTAAGTTGTGACATTATTAATTAAAACCTTTGGTCTGCCACTCATGGTTGTAACATTAAGAAAACAAAAAGATCCATTAATGTATTCATGTGTCCAATTACAATATGGATAATGACCTAAAAATTTTTTGCTATTGTGATTAAAATGAAAACAATAAGGAGCTAATTCTACAAGCGATAGAAATACAGGAGGTAAACTTATGCGATTGTCCTTCATATTATTGCTAATCTTATATGAAGCATTTATAGGAATACCATGTAATAAAATGCCAGAGCTTTTTGATTGAGGAGGGATATGCATACACATCCAACAATCAGAAAGGTTAAGCATAGAAGCAAAATGATTAATGTCTCTAACGTAAGTATTGTTAGTCCAAATCTGATGATAAAGTTCAGGCCTCCTGGCCTTCTGCAAAAAAGCAGCACGACGAAAGCGGTGTTTTACAAAGTTCCCGGAGAGGCTCCACCCGTGTGAAGTGGAATTGTGGGGCCACTCAGGACGATGCCATATTGGTTGCTCGGGGGGGCAATAAGGGTGAGAATGGTAAATTATTCCAATAGCTATTTCCGAGCAACCTGCGTGATATTTCGTGGCTCGATTATTGGCATGTAAAAACCACAATCCAGGAGAAGCCACACAGCCATTTCTGCAGATACAGGAGCCCATTTGCTGTAAATAAGTCTGATGTATTGCTCCTTGTACTGCTGAGTCAAAAGTCCAAGCCCAATGAAGCGTGATGACACAGATGGGATGGTTGCTATTAGGAGGCAGCAAAACTATAATGATGTTTGGTGGTTGAAGTGGCTTCCCAGGGAAAAGGGGGGCCAATGCAGTAGGGTTGAAGATGGCCTTTCAACGTGCCAGGAAACACTGGAACAGCTGTAGAAGGTGACTTTATCCAGGGCACATCAATATGGCGATGTCTCCAATTGCAGTGCAGGTTGAGATTAGGTGAAATCAAAGAAGTTGGACCCTTCCACTGTGGATCTGGAAGCAACCTGTATGACACTAAAGGATGCTGCAATATTTCTTCCTTCCAGAAATGAAGTTCAGCAGGCGTAAAATTCCTGTTGCCAAATAACCAGGGTGACCAATATGTGATCTAAGATGTGCTTCAGAAAATTGACAAGTCCTGGCCTGTATCAAAGATGGAGCACTTTGTGCTGGAGTGACGTTGTTGTGCGGTAGATCTGCACTGCGCACGAAAATGGTCCACTTTGCTACATCCAAAGCAGGTTTTATCCTTTGCAGGATTCTGGGGCACGGTGGAGGACAAAGCCGTGGCTAGCAGGCGAGCTTTGTGCATCTCAGTGCCCACTGACTGGCAGGCTTTAAGCACATCTGCAATGACTATATTTGGTGTTGTCATCAAAGGGCGCAGCGCTTGCTTACAGTCCTCATTATCATACGCAAGCTGGCGGACAATCAGTTCTTGGGCTGCTACGTCCTGAACTTGCCGCTTAAGAGTGTTATCCAAGCGATCGACAAATTGTCCATAGGGCTTTGTAGGACCCTGTCTGATGCTGCCACCGCGCTCATTCTTGTCATCAGGAACAGAGGACAAAGCTCCTTGGGCGGCAGCAGTAGTAGCTGTCCAATACATGGGATCAAGGGCCAACTGTTGGGCAATAGTAAGAAAATTGCCTTCGCCAGTTAAGCCATCAAGAACATCAGTTTGGTTCAGCATAACAGGGGCTGGGGGTGCAGGGCCATTGTCCTTGACAGAAGAATACAGTTCCTTTATGAATCTCAAATCAAACTGTTCGTGCCGGGCTGGGCCTCCCCCCAGGGCGGCAGGAGCTATCACAGGAAAAAGATTAGGAGTTGTAGAATCAAAAGCTAGCAACGGAGCAGCGGCGCGGAGAGATTCTTGAAGAGGAGTGGTAGAAGCGGTGCCAGATGCCTTGGGCGAAGGAGGTGGAGGAGCGGGGGGTGCCGAAGGAGGAAGATCTGGAGGCTTTGGTGGGGCATATTCCGGAGGATTAGCAGAAGAAGGTAACGTGAGAGACAAAGACGAAGGAGGAGCCAGGAAGACAGGTGGAACAGGCAATGTGGAACAGGCAGGCAGGAGGATATTGGCTGGAGTCAAACTGGACATTGCTTTGTAAACTTTACACCAGGCATCCAAAACCTTGACATCAATTTGAGGATGATTTTGAAAGAAGTGTCCAATTTTTTTCCAATCGTCTAACTCCCAATTTCCGTCCTGGGGGAACCAGGGACAGTGAGTGTCCAGGGCTTTTATAAGGGACTTAAGGTCAGCTTTTCGAACAGCAAGGTTGTTACTGGCCAAAAGGAATTTAAGGTCTTTAAAAAAATTTTTCTGTGGTGCAGAGAGAGATTTTCCCATGATTGCAAGAGTTGCAAAAAGAGCAGGGAGCACTTACCGGAGGGATCCGTAGGAGGATGAGGAAGGCGCCTTTTGCCCTGTCCGGGCGGAGATAAGTGCTGATAAGTCCGTAACGTAGTCCAGAATCACATTCACACGGGAGCTCTCACCGGGGATCCACTACGTGGATGAACGACGCGTCTGCAGCCCTGCCGGGCGAGGTGAGGCTGAACGTTATAAAACAGCATGAAGTCCGAAAGAAATCACACGGGAGCACTCACCAGGGATCCACTACGTGGATGAACGACGTGTTGGTGAGTGCTGAATAATGAAAAACAACGTGAAGTCCGAAGGCAGTCACACGGGAGCACTCACCAGGGATCCACTACGTGGATGAACGACGTGTTGGTGAGTGCTGAATAATGAAAAACAACGTGAAGTCCGAAGGCAATCACACGGGGCACCAATTGTCGAGTTACAGCTCGGCATCCAAAGAAAAATCAGTCTCACACCATGATAGGTTCCGAAATATGGCTGCTCCTAGGGCTAATGCAGCACAGCTTTTATTGTCTGAAATCAGAAAGATACAAAATACAAGCCAAGCAATTTGTTCTAGCCAGCAGATAAGGACCTTCGTACTAGACCATGCGAGCGATCAGGCTATGCTACGTTAGCCAATCATATAGGACAGCACGAGCTGTTCACGCGCTGTTCATGCTCCAAGGATGCTTCTAGCTATGAAATCACCCTGTAACAATAAGAACTTTGCTCATGCTCTCATGTACAAGCAATCATTTTCCCACAACGTTCATCCCCAGAGTCACTCCTGAGGGCAGCTGCAGATGTTTACAGTGGTGCCTTGCAAGACGAAAATAATCCGTTCCGCGAGTCTCTTTGTCTAGCGGTTTTTTCGTCTTGCGAAGCAACCCTATTAGTGGCTTAGCGGATTAGCGCTATTAGCGGTTTAGCGGATTAGCGGCTATTAAAGGCTTAGCGGCTTAGCGGGTAAAAGGCTATTAGCGGCTTAGCGGCTTAGAAAAAGGGGGGGAAGCGAAAAAAATCGCAAGACTCGCAAGACGTTTTCGTCTTGCGAAGCAAGCCCATAGGGAAAATCGTCTTGCGAAGCAACTCAAAAACGGA